AGCTGTTCTTCCCCCTCACTCATCTCAGCCTCCAAAGGCAGCTGCCTCTCCGGTGGCTGGGACATGCCGGATGGCCCTGGCTCTATCTCTGTGCCCGATGCTGAACATCCATCAGAGCCTTCCCCAGACTCCAGAACCTCCTCATCGTCTGAGTCTACCGCCAACTCTGCTGGCAGTTGGTGGGCCACAACACTAAGTGAGTTAAAGTCAGTTTTGCCTCTGTTTATGACCTTTCTTGCCACAGTTGTGATGTGAATCTCTACAGCTCTTAAGTTAATAATATGGTTGTTAGGTGAAACATGGTTTTCTTCTGGTGAGTCAAACTTGTTCATGGTGCAGCATCTTAGAATAGAATAACAGAGTTGGAAGGGACCTTGGAGGTCTTCTAGTCCAACCCCCTGCTCAAGCAGGAGATCCTATACCATTTCAGTCGGCCTAGTCAGGAAACCTTACACCACTTCAGACAAATGGTTATACAGCATCTTCTCAAAAACTTCCAGTGTTGGAGCATTCACAACTTCTAGATGAAAGTTTTTCTACTGATTCATTGTTCTAACTGTCAGGAAATTTCTCCTTAGTTCTAAGTTACTTCTCTCCTTGATTAGTTTCCACCCATTGCTTCTTGTTCTACCCTCAGGTGCCTTGGAGAATAGTTTGACTCCCTCTTCTTTGTGGCAGCCCCTGAGATATTGAAACACTGCTGTTCCGATATTATTGTAGTTCCCCCCCACATTTCGCTCATCCTAACCCCCACCCCCAATAGAACTACAGTAAATCTCAGCTTTTGGTAGCATAGGTAACTTTTGCAAGAATCACTTATTGGCACAATATAGTCAGCCATTGCATTTCCTTCTGACATCTTTTGATTTAAAAGAAGAATTGGGAGTAAGATCGCCAAATCCTCCTGATTTCATTGACAGAGCCATGATGCATCTATCTACTTAATATGTTGCATGGCAGATCAGAAAATGCAGCCCATGTTCCTTTTGATTTTTATATATCAGATAATTTGTTCCTCATTTAATACCCAGCCTCCAAGGACATTTGCAATCAAAGGAGAGCATGTGGGCAGGCAGGAGCAGCCACAGATGGCATTTTTGTCCCATTGCTTCAAGTGTTGTTTTGTTATTCATGTGTGTTGCTGCAGGGATTGAAGTCAAAAGATCAGGCATGCAGACAGACATTGCATTGTTCATTCTGTCAAATGATAATACGTTGTACTGGTTTGACCCAGGAGAAAATTGCAAGTTAAAGCATCATAAAGAGGAACAGTTGTCAAAAGAATGTCACCATCATCCATTTTTATCTTATTTGGTTTGGCACCCAGGGTGTGCTTCCAGCTCAGTACACACACACACACACACATACACATTGGTAGACAAATATTTTATTAGAAAAGTCTCCCTTGCATTCCCCCCCATAACGACATCAAAATCAGAATCAAAAATAGACAGAATAAGAAATCTCCAGGAGCGGTGATTTTATTTTTGCCCCATTCACCTGAGGGCATTTACACTCCTTTGGACTTTTACTGGATCAAATGTAAGCACCACTGAAGCCTCACGAGGATTGTCACATGCAACGGCTACACATTTTTGACAGGGCTGTGCAATGTTTTTCAATCTAATAAGACTGTTTCTAAGGCTTCAAAATCAAACACTGGAGGGAAAAAAATCTATGCTGACATCATGGGTGAGAGGAAGAAGGAGAGCATAAGAAGGCATTAAGGAGTAAACCCAAATAGTTTTGATTCTTGCTATGGAAAATCAAAGGGCTCCCTGCAACAGATTTTCACCATCCAATTTTAGCCCTTGATAGAAACATGACTTCCCACCCTAACTTTAGCCAACATTATATAACGCATAAGGAAAGCATAGGTTTTTAAGTACAAGCACAGATTAGAGCTTAGAAAAGAAAAAAAGGCAGATTTAATAGCAATTTCCTCATGAGTTGTCAGGTGTTGATAAAATATATGCGTACATATGTTTAGAAGTGTGGTATCTTATCTTTTATATCTTCCAGGAGAGCTTTTCTAATATACTTCATAACAATAGCATTCTCTGCCTACACCGAACCCAAACTAAACCTTGTTTTTAAAAGCAAGAGCTTGGGCTTTTATAACTCAGAAACTCTACAGTTTGTTTTTCAACTACCATCTAACATTGTATACATCACATATCCTTGCTTTTGGTGATTAGGACACTTTTGATTAAATTCACCTGACTGAAAATTAAATTGAGTTTTCCAGGTTTGTTTTTTTTACGCGATATCTGTAAACCAAAAAATCGGATGATAAAAAGTCACGTTTTTATTTATATATATTCTTATTTAAGAACACTTCCGTCACTTTGTTTTCTTCTCTGCGTGTCACTTTACACTGATAAAATAGTAAATTTCAGTAGTAAAAAGTAAAAATGTAAGTATTTTTTTAGCAGATGAGAAGCATAAGCTTTCTCCCATCCAATAAGTGAGCTATAAAGCATACTTAATATCAGCTAGATCATGCCATGTTTTCAGATAAGAAGAAAGTCCAACTAATTCAACCCAATTAGTGAATATCACCATGCTTTACTTCATGGTATGCTTGTGTTCGAATGGAAAGCAGAGAAAGCAAAAAGAGGGTGGATTTTTGAAAGGTAGATTTATGTCTGAAGCGATCACTCTGTTCTGCTTTAATGTCAAAAAGCCTGAAACAAATTATTTCTGATTGACTAATGTGAAAGTGAAAAGGATATGCTCTTCTTTATAATTTTTATGAGTCTTTGTATGATTTGAAGCCACTGGATTCTATGAACATCACTGCCTGGAAACACGCTAGTAGAGAAACTTTGGTCTGTCTAAGAAAAATGGGGAAGAGGGTAACTCATATGAAGTCCTTTCCCTGACATAGTTCCTCATTCTGACTTCACAAGACTCTTCCTGTCACAAGGTCTCCATGTGCTTACACCTCAGTTCCCTCTCTTGCATACAGAGTATTATTGACAGGCAGGCTGTTGTAGAAACTGCTGTTGAACTGGTTAAGCACTGAACTGCTATAGCCAAGATGACCAGAGGACATGGAATTGGACCATTCACCACCCCCATGACTGGGAAGAGGCGTGTATGTGTTGAAGCCTACCATATTCTGTCCCATTTTGTCCCCAGCATCAGTGACAAGTCCGAGGGGCACCGAGCGGTTCACTGAATTGGACCCGTTCATGTAAACTGTCATGCTGGAGAGAAAATTGTTGAGACAGGGAGTAGTGGATGATGGTGGTGGAGATCTCTTTTCAGGTGAACTCTCAGTTCCCGATGAGTTTTCCAAAATATCTTGCTGTTCTGGAACCTTGGGGCTGCCACTTAAGGCACTGTCCTCTGATTTGTCAGAAGCCAAAGTCGCCGTGCTGGCACTACAATCAGATTTCTTCTTCCTTTTTCGCCGAAAATTTCCATTGTCAAACATCTTCTCACAGTTTGGATCCAGAGTCCAGTAATTGCCTTTCCCTGTTAGAACAAGAGCAAGAAGAGCAACATAAATATAACTGAAGCCAACAAAGAGCAGGTTCTCAGGGCTTAGTTTGGCTTGGATTCAGAAAAAGCAGCAGATTGGGCAACACCCTTTTTAAAAAATGGGGAGGAGAGGCTGCTTGTATTCAAATAACTCTGGCCAGGCCCTGTCCAGGTTGCCTTGAGGTAAAACTGAACTGTTAACAGTTTGTGCTTATCACACACAAACACACACACATAAATCCCTACTTCTCCAACAAAATACTCCACAGACCCCTAATTAACATCAGGAGAATGCACTAAAACAAAGCAGAGTTTGACCTTGGGCAAGACTGCAGGTAGGAAAGAGGGGAGGGGGATTTGGAAGTGTCTCCCAGCAATTGTTTTATCCACCAAGAAATTATAAGGAAGAAACAGTTCATTTCACAGCCAAGGAAAGAGCCAACTGACCAAAGGAAAAAGGCTCCAGTGTCTTTATTCGACAGACAACGCTCCACAGAGCACAGAAGGATCAATTGCCAACTTCTTCTTATCACAGAACTTTTAAAGAGATAGAATCAAACTCTGGCAAAGTGTGCCTTAGGGAATTATATTTCTGACTATCAAGCCATGCGAATTTGGCAAAGGAGGAAGCATCTCTGCGGTTTAGGTGGTCTCAAGCCATTTTGCCCCAGTGACCCATACCACCCTGTCTTTTTTACCATCCACCCGCCTTCCCTGTGCTGATCTAAAGCCCATCCTTGTTATTGTGGCACAATTATGATTAGATGAGTTTGAAGATACCGAAAGCCTGCTTGTATTTACTGTGAGCGAGGCAGAATCAGAATCTGGCTCAGATCTTTTGGCTGAAATCATGGTAAATGGAAGATCAAAGTGAGTACTAAGAAAGCTTCTTACCTGGATCATCTTCATCCCGGGGCACCTTCTTGAAACAGTCATTGAGGGACAGGTTGTGACGAATGGAGTTCTGCCAACCAGCCTTGCTTTTATTGTAGAAGGGAAAGTTGTCTGCCACGTACTGGTAGATCTGACTGAGCGTCAGCCTCTTGTCTGGCGCCCCATGGATGGCCATGGCAATCAGGGCAGAGTAGGAATAAGGTGGCCTGACCAGCTTCATCAGCTCCTCTTGAGAAGGCATAGGGAGCCAGCCCATTTCATTCGCTGTCAAGCCATGCATGTTGGGCAAGAGCTGCCTTTGCATTCCATAGGCTGGTGGGATGTAGGGACTGCCATTGGATCCTGGCAGGTAAGGTGGAGAATTAATGGAAGGTCCGTTTAGCCACAAGTAAGGATTGGGTGCCGCGGAGTAGTCCCCTGTTTCAAAGTTGGTGGGCCGTTGTGGACTAGGAACGTTCTGTGGGTGGAAGAAATTTTCATAGTAGATGTTCATTTCAGGTGGTTCCTGGCCGATGCTTGGAAATTGCGGGCTGCAGCGTGGAGGTGAATGTATCTGTGGATCAAATGAGCTCATAATCTAGCTCTGGCAGTAGCCCAAGTTCCAACACACCTGTGTTAGTCCTTTCCCTGAGACAGGTGCATCATCTGTGCTAGCTCGCTCCAGTACTTATACACCTGTAAATGTTTAGGTTTACTTTCCAAGACTCAGCCTCGTGCATCCTGATAGGCTGGAGATCAGGGTGATATCCCTTTTTTGGAATGCTGACAGCTCAAGCCAGTAATAGATGTCACATTAACCAAATTCGAAAGTTACAACTGTTTATCTTTTTTAAATGAATGGAGGAATTTTCCACTAGTATGATTGACAGGAAGAAAGCTGAAAATTACTTGCAGGTAAAACTGATGATCCTGTTCTTCAAATTCAGTTAGACCACAGCAGTAAAGACAAAGGCAGTTTAAGAACTTAATATTTTTTTAATTAACATTTAATTAACATTAACATTTAATCTACTGTAAATCCATGTATTTACCATATGCTAAATACATTTTTTTTCAAACTGTAAAGTTGCGAAGGCAGATGAGAAACTTTTTTTTTAAAAAAAATTACTATTTCCCTGTTCAGGAATCCTCAAACTTTACACTACTGAAGCTATTATCTGTGCATTAACCAGGGAACAAGTGTGTAATTTGCCTGGAAGCTGTTCTGTGAAGTAACAAATCTGATGGTGTGTTTGCTCAGGAAAAAAAGCCTCTCACAATGGTGAAGGAAACTACTTGTCAGGTAAGAATGCACAAGACTGTAACTCACATTTTTGTTAATTTTATTTTTAGCTTGGCCTGATCATAGCAATCAGAGGAAATGACCAAATCATAAAGTTTATTACTTTGGGATTAAATGAACAAAGGCCATGTCAGGTACTTTTCAAATTTACTAGTTTTCACGATTTAGGAAAAGTGACTTTTAAAAAACAATGTCAATGTCAAATCAGACTAATGCATATTTACAGTTGCTTCCTTTTAATGGGCACACTGCCGGCGTCTTCATCAGATACATGACTGCCAGAAATGTCTCGAGAGCTTTTCAACAGGAAGATATAAATGATAAGGAAAGCCACATAACATAGAAGGAAAAAGACAGCTTTCTACACGGAACAGAGAACTAGAGGATCTAATATACCCAATGGTATCCACAGAATGTATAATTTTATGTGTAATTTAAAGTTCTAAGTTAACGCTAAAAAAAAATTCAGCAGCTATATTATAATTCTGCATACGTCTTGCATTATGCATAGCATATATCCAGTGCCTTTCTATTACCTTTTTCTAAACTTTTTCGGGACTTAAGAAAAGGGATGCTAGAACTGATTACATATTTAGGAAGAGATGGGGGCCAGGCTTAACCAGAGGAGAGTCAGGAAATAACACAAAGGGGGCTGGCTACATCATACTCACGGAGGACTTTCTGTGCTTGTTTTAAACACATTAAGTCCATGTTAAGCTTTCCATTTTAATGTCAACACATTTCCCACTACAAAATGTCAAGAAACTAGCCAGGAGATTTTTATTGAATGTGTGTGTCTTAAGAAAGTTCCTGAGATTCAGTGTTGTTGACCAGGGAGGAACACACACAAATTCAGCTGAGTATAAAGAATGTATTGCTGTGATAAGGGATCTTTCTGAGTTTCGGCCTTCCTATAGGTTTTCCCCAAGTCTAGTAACTATGCATTTGAGGGGTCATCAAAATGTAAGATAAATAAATGAATTCACCCCAGTGAAAATATTCTTTGACAATCTTGAAAGAAAATAAAATGCTGTTGCTTATTATTTAAAAAAAAAATCTGTCAGGGTAACCCCTCCAGTAGGGGAGATTTACAATTTGTACAATCACCCTAAAGATCAAATTTACATAAATGTGTCTCAGAGGCTTCACCACAATATAAATCTTTCAACAGGAGTCATCACATCTTTCCTTTCCACCTAAAGTATTGTTCCAAATTCTTCAATTGATTTACCTTTAAAAGAAGCCAATACAAATTGCCACATGATCAACCCGTTTAAGGCAGTGGTGGGATTCAATTTTTTTTTTACTACCGGTTCTGTGGTATGGCTTGGTGGGCATGGCACAGCTTGGTGAGTATGGCTTGGTGGGCGTGGCAGGGGAAGCATACTGTAAAATCTCCATTCCCTCCCCACTCCAGAGGAAAGTTACTGCAAAATCCCCATTTCCTCCCGATCAGCTGGGACTTGGGAGGCAGAAGTGGTATTTACCGGTTCTCCAAACTACTCAAAATTTCTGCTACCTGTTCTCCAGAACTGATAATAACCTCTTGAATACCACCTCTGATTTAAGGAGACAGCAGTATTTCTTTAGGTTTTTCCAAGGATGTCTGTATGCTGAAACATGCAGTAAGACATATTGCAATGCCCTGATTAATCTGAAAAGTTATTTAGCCAGAACAAGGTGACAAAAATGATGATCACCTTGCAAGAACATGCAAACTGCACGGAGATGTCATAGTACAGCCAAGATTGACATGGCAGGACATGGTAGAGTAATATATCATGGAAAAAATGGATAGATTTCCCATCAAACCTGCTCAGATTTTTTAAACCCAAATTCAGGTTTTAATCTGGTGAATAATGTGAGAGTCTTAAATATAACAATTTCCATTAATATAGGAAAAGGACAATACATGTTGAAGAATCTTTGTTTCACAGAAAATTATGCCTGGCACAGAAACTAATTATGAGTGGCTGTTCAATAAAAAAATTACAGAGGGCGCTGGAATTTAGGAAATTACATCATTCTTCCTAATGCAGTAGGTGCTGTTTTTCCATCGAAGGTAACTTCTTCGAGGTGTAAGAGCTGTACCTGTGACCTTCCTTTAGCTTATAACCGCTGAAACAGTGCCACTTAAAATACAGTCCCTTCCAATGTGTCTCACTATAAAATCATAATTTCCTTGAGATCAGAAGAGAAACTATTCAATGTTTTTCAATGTATTTAATTACATTTTAATTGATTCTTGTGTAATTGATATATTGATCCATATTTATTTTTTCCATTCCAATTCTATTTTAGGCTGCATAGTCATAATTAAAAGAATCTATCCAGAAAGAACATAGGACTGTGACAGATTAAATCAACAATATTTCAATATAAGATCGCCGATCATAAAGAGGACTTAATCTTTTAATCAAAGGCGTAAGCAATAATCAACGTGTCCTTGTTAGAGCAGCAAATATTCTTTGTATCTTTGCAAAATAATGGTTAGGCTTGAAGAATGTTATATTTGAAGGCAGCCTTGCTTAGCTGAAACATATACATTTTCATGGTTTGGGACAATGGATCCCATAATTCACAATTACCATAGAAAATGAATGTAGAAGTCAGAAAATAGGAAAGCCAAATCAATCAAAAAGCTGCCGACCACTATAATAGATGCTGTAACATTGTAAGATTATTTCACTTCATAAGCTATATGGAATTGACATGAGAAAAGGCACTAGTTTATCTCGGATTGCAGTCTCCCTAGTAAACAATAGCTTGTGGAGAAGGTATATGGACCTTAATAGAGAATAAACTCGTATTAGGAAGTCGGATATCAATACTGAAACCCTTTGAAAAAATACTATTTAGGTTTCAAATTAATTAGGCAATTTAATTCCAATTTGCATTTACTTTCAAGAACAATCTGGCTGTAGTTTTTTGGACATTCAGAATTAATGTAAAATTGTTTGGGGAGCATTAGGCCAACAAATTAATTTGTGCAGCTGCATGAAGAGATTGATAGTTCTCAATTCTTCCCAATTATTAAATACAATTCATTTAAAGGCACATTTTCAAATAAATAAAAATTCAATCAAATGCAATCAAACATAAATAGCATCTAAACCTTGGTCACTATTATCAAATTTAAGATGTGAGGTCAGGATGTTTTCCATCCATTCTCTTGGCACCAAAACTGGGAAGAAGGCAGGGGTGGGATGCTGGGGGTTTGCACGAGTTTGGGTGATCCTCTAGCTAGAATTCTGCCTAGTTCGGCAAATCCTTAGATGCCACCCCTGGCTGGCCCCTCCCACCCCTCCCATCCCTTCCGCTCTAAGGTGTCTCCATGTGGCCTGTTCATCATGCCAGGTAAGTGCAGGAGCTCCATGGAGGCTTGGGGAGGGAAGAGTGGGCCTACTGGAGGTTCCAGAACTCCAGAAACGGGTCTGTTTCCGGGCTCCAGAAAGAGTCCTCAGACCTACAGAGGGCCTCCGGAACACAGGGGAAGCAGTTTTTACCCTCCCGGAGGCTTGAGGAAAGCTGCTGGAGCCTGGATAGGGTGAAAAACACTCCCCCCCCTGCCGTGGTGCAAGAGGCCAACTAGGCCATGCTCACCATAGCCAAGACCATCCAGCAACGGAGCAGTGAACCCATTACTGCAATTTTTGAAGCCCACTACTGGAAGAAGGCAATGGAAATGGAGAAGCAAAAGCTGTACTCTCCATACAGTCTCATAGAAGATTCTTTGGGGCAGTATGATGATCATGTTGGCTGGAAATATTTAAAGTTGCCACGAGTTTAAATCTAGAGATGTTAGATTTGATAAAGCTGATGTAAGGCCATAAGTAAAAGACTTCATACAAATAATAATAAAAATAATCTGTTTTAAAACTGACAAGGAAATTTCCAATATGGTTTTGTAGTGAAATGGTAATACTGTAATGATTTAAGCATGGACATTCAAGAAGTGTCCATCAAAGCATCCCTTACACCAGGGGTGGGTTTCAGGTGGTTCGCGGCGGTCCCCACGAACTGGTTGATCGGCGAACCCGGAAGTAAGTAACTTCCGCGCCGAAGGGTCCACCCGCTCGCCCGTGTTTCTTACCCAGTTTTGACGAGTTCTGCGCTTCCACGCATGCGCAGAACGCATACAGCACCTGCACGATCCTCCAGGAGCAGCTGGAGCATCGCACAGGNCTCTGGCACCCCTCGGACGCCACAGGCTTTTCTGACTTCTTGATCGATGGCCTCTTTAAAATAGTGCAGGAGTATTCTGTCAGGCCAATGTCCAAAGTTCCCTATGACCCATCTAAAGTCCCATAGGAAGTCTTTTAGGGGTAAGTTACCTTGCTTCATCACTTTTATTGTGGCTTTGTTTTCATTGATTCAGCCAGGGCCTTCAAATCTGGTCTGAAGCAATTCAACAAAACCCTCAGCATCATTTAGTTCAGAGCCCCCTCATTCTGCAGCTGGGCTACCCAGTCAGAAGCATCTCCTTCATTAATTCCCTCTGTGATTGCTGATATTAAATCGCAATCTGTTTCGTATTGTTCTCCGTATTGGTCTATATGAGCCCAAACTCAGCCGAGAAAGTAAGCCAGTTTGGCAGGCTTACCATCAAAAGTTGCTCTAAACCGTGGTGGCGGTGGTCTTGCTAGTGGAATTGCCTCAGTGACCGGCAATGGGGCAGGATCTTGCTGGTGTGCTACGCTGGGGTGTGGGGCAGGGACCTGTTGGGATGCTGCAGTGGGGGAAACACTGACGGCTGAGCTGGAATCTGGGGCACTGCAGCTGCTGGCTTCTAGATTGTGGCTGGTGGCTGGACAGGGGCTGGCTGCTGCACTGGTTATTGAGTTGCAACAGGGGAGGGGGCTCCAGCAGGCTGCTGGATCAGACCCCATTGCTATGCTGGGATCATTGGGGCATATTGGGCCCATGGTGATCCCGAAAAAGGTGGAGTAAACGGTGCTAGCATCCTTTGGCACTGGACCCACCCATGGCTGGGATAGAATACCCAGCCTAGGGGATACATTCCGCCGAGGGGGGAGCATGAAGGTAGGTTGGCGAGGAGGGGTAAACTGACAGTTGTAGCATTCCCAATGCCGACTGCATCTGCTGTCTCCCTCCTGCTGCTTGACCCTGTTTCACTGAGCCAATTCCTCAGTCATCTTTAAGTAGAAAGGTGTCAATGCCACGCTAGTTCTACCACCAGATTCTGGATCAGGAAAACTGAACATGGGCTGCATTAAATTCCATCTCTCTTGAGGAGGTTGGAACCGCAGTGCATAACTTCCCACTTCAAGTCATTCAAAACTTTCTGGGAGTCCTGTCAACGACTGGCTTTGAGATGGAGACAACAGGTTCCAATCTCAGGAGTGTCAGACCCCAAAATTCTCATATCCCTCCATTCGGGCTCATGGGTTGACTGCATTGGGCTGGAGTTGGAACAATATTCAGGCGGTCTTTCTTCTGGTCCCATCTCTGGAGTTGGATCAGACTGGCAACTTTTCCAGGAATCCATCTCCTTAGGCTGAGCACCTAGCCTTCATATTGTCTCTGCAGCTTCAAGTGCTCGCACTATGTCTTCAGAAGGAGAATACTGGGTCTCGATAAGTTCTCCAGTATCCGTCCCCATGGCTCCTTCTGAGACCTTCTCTTTCCCCTCTATCTTCGCTGAGTCTTAGCACCGCCTGAGTTTCAGGTCAATCCTGGGGCTCAGCCCCCCTTTTGGGGTGCTGTTTGACTACTTAGGATTTGAGTTAATGTCAGTATTCCGGAAAACCCAGTGAAAAACTATGAAAAACTACGAAATAGGCATTTCTCAAAGCTCCCATTTATTAGGATAGGGATACAAATACATCTGGGAAAATCTGGATCTGAGATTTCCGGGCTTTTCCTCAGTAAGTCAAAAGTACGAACCCATCCCCTGCACCCATTAGTCCATCACATGGTCCAATCCCAATCCGTCCTAACTTGAGATATCACTTCAACCACTCCTCCAGGTGCAGGAATATTATGATCTTGACCAAAAAGAAGAATGCTATTATATCTAACTACATTCCCTCTACTAAATTGNCCCGTAAAATTGTCCTCTTTGAGCAGGTATGGCACTGGGGCAGCACAAAGAAAGTGGGTACAGGGGAAAGGAGTTCTTAAACAGAAATGGGAGAAACGTTTGACATGAGGTTGGACTTATGAAGGAATTCCGGTTGCCCCAGGACATCTCAGTGTGGAACGTATAGCTAGTAGCAAGTGCTAGAAATCCCCCCCTGTAGCATTAATGTATACTTCCATACACAAACCATATATTTGCCATTGTACAGAGAAGACATGCCACCTCACTCCAGTTTTAAGATAGCTTTCTCCTGTCTGGCATCTGGTGGTGGGATTCAGCCAGTTCGCACCATTTTGGGAGAACCAGTTGTTAACTTTCTGAGCAGTTTGGTGAACTGGTTGTTGGAAGAAATCATTAGGGCAGAGAACTGGTTTTAAATTATTTGAATCCCACCACTGCTGGTATACTCTGAATGACCTGGGCAAACCCCAAATAGAGTCATTAAGGGTAGGCCAGGTTAAAGATATATACTTCACTACACATTGCCCTGAAGAAGATATACAGTACATTTTTAAACATCTTATGGCAGAAGTTATGGTCCTTAGCAGACATCGTCATGTATATGTCATGTATAAATGCTTACAGTAGCACTTGCCATTGTCTGAAAAATATATTCTTCTTGTGAGCCGGAAGGTAAACAGATTTCATCCAAGCAAGACGTTGAGCAGAAAGATCAGCAGGCAGTATAGCTGACAGTTAGCCAAGTGAGTAAGCAGGGGCCATTTCTGTCTGAAAAGTCTAGATAGATAGTCTGGAGCAGCATGGGATCCATGGGATCCACCATGGGAACATTTGAGACTTTTTGGATCACCCCATCCTGCTGAGCTAATGGGTGAAATTCCTTTCTTTGAATAGCCACAAGGATGGTACCAAAGGCCAAGTAGGTGAAATAGCTGAATACTTAAATCCTCTGCAAGGATATCTACAACATGATTCAACTTCACACTGTTTTCTTTCTCGTTTCCCTCTGTGCCATAGGTCCGGTTCCTGATGAAAAGCTACGCATTTCTGCGAGAATCAATGCCTCCTCTTCTCCATGCCAGGAACCAAGTTGGTGAGTTTGACTTGGAGGCTCTTAGTGCTGATTACGATAACTAAAAGTCACCCCCATAGACCCCAAACTGATTTTCCACCAATTGCAGCATCTGAGTTGTAGCATAAGATAATCAAGTAAGCTTTGGCCTCCACATGCTAATTGTTATCACAGACTTTCTCAACCTATGGAAGAATTGGATTACACTTTCTATTTGCCTGTCAGTGATTTGATATGGTAGATGTTGTAATAGATTTTAAGTGTTGCAAAATTCTAAGAAAAGTAATATGGATGCAAAGCAAAGGAAACCACTTGGCTGGGTCAAGTAAATTTCTCCAAATTCCTCACAAATCACAATTTCTCCTATTTGCCAGATTTTATTTAGCATGAACAGCTGCAGAACATAGGTGATTTATTTATTTGGCTATTTATTTGTCTTTTTTATCAGGATTCAAAGCAGCTCAAAAATTAAAGAAACAATCTGACACACTGTGCAAGATTTTATTAATTGAATTTTTCCCTATAGATATACTTGTGAGTGCATGAGAAAAGCTTTCTTTGTTTGTTGCTTTTGTATACCAATGGAGGCAGATTTTCAGAAAGCTGAATTCTGCATCCTGTATCACAACTTAACTACTATTTGTACATAAGATGTATCATAAGCTACTTTTTGTACATAAGAAATATCCTAATAAGAAGAGCTGTGGTGGCACAGTGTTTAGTATGCAGCATTGCAGGCAGATTTTGCCGACTGCTAGATGTTTGATTTTCACCAGCTCAAGGTTGATCTTCCATCCTTCCAAGGTTGTTAAAATGAGGACCCAGATTGTTGTGAACCATTTAGAGAGGACTGTAAAGCTTTATGAAGCGGAATATACTGTAAGACTAACTGCTATTGCTATTGCTATGTCAGGTACAGATTAAGCTTTGCATTCTTCCTGCTAAAATGCTATGCAGAGAGGAGATGCCTGCACTTGAACAACATGGAAGCTCCAGGGCAACTATTTCTTCAGTGTACAAACTGCTGTTTCTCTATGTACTTTCAACCATTCCTTTGCTTCTTTCTCCCCGACTCCAGGGAAGATAAGCTGTCCTGAATTCTCAACCTACTTATATTTTCTCTTCTGCCCTACTTTGATCTACAGAAAGAGCTATCCAAGGTACCTCCTTGCATATTGTCTTTTTGGGCTCCCTGGTTTCTCAGCTCTGTGAGAAAAAGAATGGGCAAAATGGGCTTCAGGAGATACAGTTCATGCCCCCAGAGCAACCTTGTAACCATTGTATTTTCCAAGAAAAGGGAACTACTCTGTTATATCTCAACTCAATCCCTGCTCCTTTCCTTATAGAGATCCATACATCCGCTGGAATTACGTCATCCGAAAACTGGTTGAGGTGAGAGAAACACATTAAGTTTCCATTGACTGGATGGTTTTATCTGGCCTCTCTGTAAATTAGAAATGTGCTTGGGGACTATTGGATTTTCCCACAAGACTTAGCTGGACTGGTAACCTTAAAATGTCTTAGCTGGCCAAGGGAGTAAATAGCAATACTGTTTTAAGAAGCCCTGGGTGACCAAAGGCTACCATTTCAATTTCCCAGAGTTCTCTAGCCTTGAGTGAATGAGTTATAACATTTCTCCTGAGACATACTTGATGCAAAAAAAGGTCATTTCCCTAAGAGATGTTCAATTTAAAACTTTAGATTAATGTATATATTTTTACAGGAAAAGGGGGTTTGAAAGAGAGTAGAGTTGATGGAACTCAGAGCCGCTCAGTAAGTGTGTGCTGCAGAAATCTGACAGATTGACTCAAACTAAACAAAAGAGGGGCTGGTGTTGGAGGACAGCATTTGAGCATTGTAGGATATTAAAATGACAGCCAAATCCAGCTTCTGAGATCATAGACCAGAAGAAAGTTATTCTTTAGTCATAACCGAGAGCTAGTAACCAGCATGCTTTGCCAGAACATTGAGATGCCAGTATGTCACTAAGGTAGAGTTTTTCTCTATGTCCCACAGTTCCTGGCGGGTGTTTATTTTCTGAATTTCCTTCTGAAATACTACTTCACCCCATACTTTGGCAACATACATAAGCAGCCCTTCACCATCAAAATCCAGCTGCTTTCCATCTTTGATTCAGTAATACTGGGTATGTGAAAACAATTATATTTTCATTCTTGTAACAGAAACATGTGATCAGGCTGATGTCAGCATTCCGGAAAACCCAAACTCCAATGAAAAACACAGAGACATTTATTAGAGTAGATATACAGGCACATCTGGGAAAACCTAGATCTGAGATTTCTGGGTTTTCCCCCAGTAAGTCAAAAGACCAAACCCATCCCCTGCACCCATCAGTCCATCACCAATCCCAATCCATCCCAACTCAAAACATCACTTCAATCACTCCTCCTCCAGGTGCAGGAATACCATGATTTTGACCAAAAACAAGAATGCTATTATGTCTAACTACATTCCCTCTACTAAATTCCCCCTACTAATTTTCCAAGCACAAGAATGTGGCAGCATGGAAGCTTCCAGTGTTAATATGGCTTCCAAAGCAGACAGGTGTCCCCCCACCCCCACCCAAGGAAAAAGCACATCCTGGAAAATGAAATAGACAAAACACAAAACAGGAGTTAATGTAATGTCCAACAAAATATTTAACCCCCTCTCCTCTCCCCAGGATGATTCTTTTGCTTGTCAGGAAATTTATCATGAAATAGTTTCACTAGTCTTTCAGCCTTCACATCTCAACTTTTTACCCAGGTAGCTTCTGACAAAGGGTATTCTTTCCAGAGTACTAAATACTATAACCGACCCCGATTCAATCTAGAGTCAAGAATCTTCTTAACTTCATAATGAGTTTCACCCAGCACTTTCATAGGTTGGAGAGAGGCAGCTGGTATGGGTCTTAAAGAAGATTCTGCCACTGATTTCAATAAGCTGAAACACCGGATGTATTTTCTCTAGTATCTGAGGGAGGCTAAGTTTGACAGTCACAAGGTTAATTACTTTCACTATAGGAAAAGGACCGATGAATTTAGGTCCGAATTCCTTGCTCGGTAACCTCAATCTTAGGTATTTAGTTGACCAATACACTTTATCTCCTATTCAAAAGGGTGGTTGGAGAGACCTGTGTTTGTCTGCCTGTTTTTTATATTTCTCAGCTGCTTCCGCTAAAGCTTTCTTCATATTCTCCCACCCTTTTTGTAATGAGGCTATCCATATCCATGTCCATGTTAGGGACATGGAGATAAGGGGTTCTCAAGGTAATTCAGGCATAGATACAAAATCCATGCCAATAGTTATTTGGAAAGGAGTCAGCCCTGTGCTACTATGTACAGCATTATTATACGCCACTTCTGCGAACAGTAATAAATCCACCCAATTTTCTTGATGATAATTTACATAACATCTAATGTATTGTTCTATCATTGCATTGGATCAGTGGAACGATCCGATGAACCTAGTCAGGGGATGAAAAGCTGAACTAAGCCCCTGGGACGATCCGATGAACCTCAGGAACTCTCTCCAGAACTTAGCAGTAAATGGACTCCACGGTCTGATATTACTCACCATGGAATGCCACGAAGCCTGGTTCATGAAAAGTTTTGCCAGCTTTTTGGCAGAAGGCAGTCCGTTGCAGGCGATGAAGTGGGCTTATTTGGAGAATAAAACAATGACAGTTCAAATTACCGTATTTCCTCCACTTTCTGGGAGTTCGACAATAAAGTCCATTGCAATCTCCTCCCAGGGTTTTGTGGGTTCGGCAACTTGCTGGAAAAACCCAGGAGATTTCCCTAATCTGGTTTTCATGGTGGCACAAATAGCGCAGCTTTTAACATTGTTCTCTACATTAGATTTTCTTGGCCACCAGAATTGTCTCCTAACCAAATGGAGGCTTTTTAAAAATCCAAAGTGTCCCTCAGTTGAGAAACATGACTCTGTTTTAGCACCATTAATCACATGCAGCTTGGCACATAAATCTTCCTTCCTTCCCAAGCCACGTTAAGTCCATTTGGTTTTCTTTAAACCAGGTATTATTTCACAGTGCAGCTTTCAATTCAGCCAAAATTTTCCCCCTCCCCCACCCGAATATACAGTATTTTAGTTTGAAGTTAAAGCATTTGAAATACTGAACCCAACAAACTTGTTTGGGAGAAAGTTTCCGAGGGGTCTTCACAACTTTGAGGTTTTTATGATCAGTCCACACTTTGAAAGGCTCCTTAGCCCCCTCTAGAAAATGTCTCCAGGATAAGAGAGCCCATCACACTGCAAAAACCTCTTTCTCCCAGACCACCTATCTGTGTTCAGTGTCCGTTATCTTTTTTGACACGTAAGCATAAGGCATTAATTTGTTTTGAAAGTTCTTTTGGAGTAGAACAGCTGCTACAGCCATGTCACTAGTGTCGGCATGGACTGTAAAGGGTTTATTTGGATCAGGATGCAGGAAGATCCGCTGCAAACAGGCACTTTAAATGTTCAAAGAATTTTTAACAGTCCATTGTCCAAGCAAGAGGTTGGCTAGGTTTTGGCTTGGTCGGAGACGGGATGGTTTTAAGTAACTCAGTTCAAGGGAGCATCACCTCCATGAAGGAAGGGATGAATTGTCTATAAAAATTTGCAAAACTCAGGAAGCTTTGAAGTTGCTTGTGCAACTTCAAAGTTCAACTTCATTTTGCAACTTCATTTTGATCCCTTGATTAGACATGGTAGCCCAAGTAGTCTAAAGATTCCTTATGGAATTCGCATTTTGACAGCTTCGTGTAGAGTATGGCAGCTAAAAAATTTTTCAGGACTTGTCTGACTAGTTTGATATGCTCTTCCAGAGTTTCACTGAATATGAGAATGTTATCCAATTAAACCAGGACCCCCTTATACAGGTGTTTATTTGTACCTCATTGATCAGTTGTATAAATACTGCAGGGGAGGGGGGGGTTGAAGTTCCAAAGATGTGACATGGAATTGGAAATTGCCCAGCGGACAGTTAAAAGCCATCTCCCTCTTTTATGCGGACTCGGTAATAGGCTTCCCTTCAATCTAGCTTAGTGAAAATCTTGCCTTTCGACAAGTGATTCAGCAAGTCCTTCATTAGGAGTAGGGGGTATGTATTTTATAGGCAAATTCAATTGACCCCCCTAAAATCAACGTATAATCTAAGACCTCCCCCAATCTTTCTTCTCTTTAAACAATACTGGGGCTACCACTCTAGATTTTGCAGTCTCAATGAATCCTCTGGCTAAGTTGATATCAATGTGTACTTTCTCAATTTCATCATTTCAGCAGATGTCATGGAGTACATTCTTGGTTTTGGTAACTTGGCCCTGTTTTCTGATTCAATGGCACAATCAGTGGCTTGCTGAGGGGGGAGGATGTTGCATTCCTCATCACTAAATGCCATGGCTGAGTCTGACATGGTGGTGGATGCCTCTGGTGGTTGGCCCTGCTTGATTGGCAACCTCCTGTCAGGATGGACAGGGGGTAGTGGGCTAATGCCAGTTATGATTTTATGGTATCCATCCTCGCATTTAATGGTAGGGGCCCATTTGTCAAGCCAAGCAAGGCATAATATGACAGATTCTGACATCCTTGGCGCCACTACAAATCATATAAGTTCACGATGTCTTCCCATTTCTAATATATCCAGTTCTATTATTTGGGTGGCTGGGATTCCTCCAATTAACATTCCATCTATCTGTTTGAACTTAATTGGGCATTTTAGGCTCTAGTTTTTATCCCTAATTGTTCAACAATTGGAAGCTCAGTTAAACATCTGGTACAGCCTGTATCTATCACTGCTTTTAATTCTCCTTGCTCCACTTTCTCAGGTGCCACCAACTTTAACTGAAAAGGGGGGGGTGGCTGCACTCACCAGCGGGTCGTCTTCCTCGTTAGCCTCACCTGGAAGAGCTTTTTGGCCGAAGGTTCCTTGCTTTCTTCAGTAGAGAGGGGAACCTCGATGGCTTGTCTGGCAAACTGGCTGGTATCTGGGGGCTTTCATGGAGCCCTTCTGCCTCTGGTAGCCATTGGAAGCTCGATAACCTGCTTTTCTGCAACAATAGCACTTGATGACCCCTGTGGGTTGAATAGGAGTAGACTTTGTTGGCTTGGTCAAGGGGCATCTTGCTAAAGTCCTCTGTGCGGGTCTCTCAGCTGTGGATTTGTGGCGTGGGTGAATCTCTCTATCCAGAGCTATCGACATGGTGTACCAGTCTTGTAGGTGCTCTGGCACCCCTCGGACGCCACAGGCTTTTCTGACTTCTTGATCGATGGCCTCTTTAAAATAGTGCAGGAGTATTCTGTCAGGCCAATGTCCAAAGTTCCCTATTCAACCCA